AATTCAAATTCTAAATCGAGGGACTCAAAATGTAATTATTTAACACAGATAATATTTATATTATTCAAAAAATTTCCCCATAATGATCCTTTAAATCTGAACGTTTCCGATTTCCCATCTGGACTTTGTCATCGAGATGAAATTTTGTCTCAGAATAACAAAATTAATTGAGGGTTCTAAGTTTAGAGCGCTTACTTTAAAAGTGACATGGAAAGAATATAATTATGTAAATTATTAATTTTTGATTAATGNTATGATAGGTATCATTAGCCCTTTAGTTGACTTCGTGCATCACAGAAAGAGAAACACCAAAGTGGCAAAAAGTCGAGAGGGGGGACAGAATAATGATTCACAGATGTAAAAGAGACAGACAGATACAAAGGTAGAAAAAAGGTGAGTACTGTGGAATTATTCGAATATGAAATGCGGTGGGGTCTTGGTAGTTTGAATTCAGAAGTCAACTGCCGATTAATAGACTTTTTTGCCGTATGAGTATACGTTGCCTAGGGTGCATCGAATCAAAATGCTTTGAATTTAACCTTGAAGGATTAAATAATCTGATTTACGTATTTCCCAAACTTTTGCACTCTTATATCAAGGAAGGATATATTAAGTTAAGCTAGTGCTTGGAATGAATTGAAACTTTTCAATTCAAATTCTAAATCGAGGGACTCAAAATGTAATTATTTAACACAGATAATATTTATATTATTCAAAAAATTTCCCCATAATGATCCTTTAAATCTGAACGTTTCCGATTTCCCATCTGGACTTTGTCATCGAGATGAAATTTTGTCTCAGAATAACAAAATTAATTGAGGGTTCTAAGTTTAGAGCGCTTACTTTAAAAGTGACATGGAAAGAATATAATTATGTAAATTATTAATTTTTGATTAATGAAGATATACCAATTAATTTCTCTTGAAGTAAGATGGAGCTATATGATTTGATTACCACACAGTTTGTTCTTGTTAAAAGCCGATATTACATACTTAGGAGCCTAAAATAGCATTATACCTGGTTTCATTTTCACGGAAATAAATTAATGAACTTACAATTATTCATCACAAAAATAAGCTCGAATTCACACGTCAGCAATAATTCCAATCTTCAGTGGAGGATATTATGCTTGAAAAATTTTCCTTAATGTACATTCTCAAGTTGAGATTATTTACTTGCTTAAAGCATACTCTTGATTCAAAAACTTTACGTCGTTTTATAGGCATCATTGATGCCTACGCATTTACGTATTCTGCTAGCTCTAATTTATGAAGCCATTTAATGCTAAACAAGGAGAAACGCTTTCAAACATTCATCGGGGCTTAAACGATTCATCTTCTTAATTGCAGCGACGAGCTTTTTCCTGCATTTGGATTCGGCACACGTGTTGGCTCGGATGGAAGAAAATCTCATCTTTTTCCACTTGTAAGTTAAACGCCGTGTCTTTCACCTTTTCTTTCGCTAAAAGAAAGCCTAATCTAGTCGTTAATAACCCGAAATAAATGAATGAAAAAAAATTTCATTGAATTTAACCAAATTAACGTAATAGAATAAAAGAACTTTGTTGCATAAAAGTGCATAAACCTTGCCAGCTTATAGAGCACTTAATATTTATCTATTCCTAACAAAATAATCGATTTTTCTTTCTTTTCTCATACTAACACCCCCCCTCCCCCCTCGCCCTCTTCAAGACTGGCGACCTAAATAATCCCAATTGTGAGGGCGTATCCGGAGTCCTGGCTGCCTACAGTCGCGTCGCCAATGAGACATGTGGCTCAGCTCCGCCTAACTTTGCTCCTCTTATCAAACACGTTAATGAGTGAGTCGGTTATTGCATTTAAGATCCACATTTCCCCTGACTTGAGAACTAATTTATCCAAATAGGGTATACATATACAGGAAGCACGTCTACTAAGTAGTAACAGATTTTAATAATACATTTTGAGCCCCAAATGAAAAGATTTCGAAGTCTCCCAAAGGAAACTCTCATCGTGATGACCATACCCAGTTTTATAAGGTATCTTAAAACTATATGGGTGGATGAATAGAATTCATTTAATAACACACCGAAATTCATCATGATCAAGATGTCATGTCTTGTGGTCGGATACTAAGGGCCTGGATATCAGAAGCGTTTTACCTTTGAGGAGGGGGTCTCCGTATTCTGATTCCATATAACAGAATTTCATTGAAATGAAGAAAAGGTAATTAGTTTCAATCAACTCCCATTGATAATATCACTGAGACATATTGCAATTACGATTTCGGAGAAGAATGAAGAAACAAGGTGCAATTCAACATTCCTAACCTCTCAAAAGGTTTATTTCAATGCTTTCTTGAAATTGTTTGTGAAAAATTAATTATATTATAGGGGAAAAAGGGAAGATGCAATACTGCCGTTTCCAAAATTAAGAAAGATTACAAGAGAACTTCTAATGTTAAGAAGTCCAATAAGACCGCGTCTTGTATTTGCTATTTATACACAATATAACAAAAGGAGATTTGTTAAAACTGGTATTTGGGGTCCTTAAAATTACTCCTTTGAACTTCAAGGAAAACAATCACAACCGATAAATGCATTATAGAAGTCAAAAATGAAGAAAAATTTTTTAAACGTTAAGAAAAATCAAAAGATTTGCTTTACAATGCATGTGGTTAAAAAGGAGACTCGAATCATTTCTCGATTAATGTACAAAAATGGACTCCAATCAACAAGGCAGTCTGAAGACAGTAATTAAATCGAGGATGCCGTCTCCTTGTGAAGAAACCTAGTGGCATTTTTCACCTCTTGCGAAGTACTTTCTAAACATTCTTGATTTTGAAGTTGAATAAAATTAAGTGGCTTTAATCATTTAAATAAGAAAGATTTAAAATGGTATAAAAAGTGGATTTAAAGTGTTAATAGTCAAAAGTAAGATTGGCATCGAATTAAAATGCTTTGAATTTAACCTTGAAGGATTAAATAATCTGATTTACGTATTTCACAAACTTTTGCATTCTTATTTCAAGGAAAGGTATATTAAGTTAAGCCAGTGCTTGGAATAAATTGAAACTTTTAATTCAAATTCTAAATCGAGGGACTCAAAATGTAATTATTTAACACAGATAATATTTATATTATTCAAAAAATTTCCCCATAATGATCCTTTAAATCTGATCATTTCCGATTTCCCATCTGGACTTTGTTATCAAGATGAAATTTCGCTTCAGAATAACAAAATTAATAGTGGGTTCTAAGTTTAGAGCGCTTACTTTAAAAGTGCCATCGAGAGAATATAATTATGTAAATTATTAATTTTTGATTAATGAAGATATACCAATTAATTTCTCTTGAAGTAAGATGGAGCTATATGATTTGATTACCACACAGTTAATTCTCGTTAAAAGTCAATATTTCATACTTAGGAGCTTAAAATAGCATTATACCTGGTTTCATTTCCACGGAAATAAACTAATGAACTTACAATTATTCATCACAAAAACAAGCTTCTTTTAAACCTAAAATACTTCGAACTATGAGTAGCAAGGAAACCAATTTTGTTAAAATACTTTGTTTTCAAAGTCGAGATGAGAGAAGTTGAAAAGAAACCGCGCTCACAAAGTGGCTAATTTAGGCGACCTGTCGTAAAAAAATAAGTATTTGCATAACATGCAAAATATTCTAATTTTATTTTTAATATTTTAAGGCATTGAACTGTACTTTTACCCAAACTTCTAAAAAATAAATGGAAATTTCTAACACCGTAAATTTACAATTTTCTAAAAAGGAATAAAACTGAATTCATTCAAAAACATGAAAAGATTGAAAATATTGCTAATTAAATTAGTAATTCTAATACACTAAAATCCTGTTGATGATTCATCTAAAAGCTTAGTAAAAGGAACGTTCATTTTCTCAAAAAAATTTGTACTTTCTTAAGCCGTGTTTATTTCTTATGCAACCAGAGTTGCGGCGAATGGCTTTCAGATTCACGAGGAATTTATTTTAGTTCCTTGCTTCAGGAATTTGGCGAATTTCTTAGCGTTTCTTTCATTATTTATGAACCTTTCCCTCAAATTGAAATTTTTTGTGTGAACCTCTCTAAATCTTTAATTAATTTTTTTCACAATCTTAATGAGGTATCAGCGTGTTCTTAAAAGGACCTTTCTCATACTTATTAGGAATATATGCATCCAAATTGAACGCTTAATTATTTTGTGGAGTTTGCACGAGTGGAAGAGAGTTAAATACAAAATATAATTAGTCATAACGAAGTCACAGATTCAGGGCCTATTAGGCACCTTGAGTGAGAAACGTACTATTCTAGTGGAAAACGTCGCATTCGCGAAACTGTGTCGCCAGTCATTGACTTGGATACTGCATATAACTAATCAACGCCTGCCTCATTTAACTTGCATTTTTAGCTTAAACCAAACCGATATAGATTAAGGTGAGTGAAGAGCTTTAGTGGTTTCTAAAATTCAATTGAGGGATTCGCTACTGTGAACGATTGCAAATATAATTGCGCAATTATATATAAAAGCTTCAGATGAAGTCTATTTCTCTATGCATTAATAATATTTTTCCTGTTCATGAAAATTATTTGCAGGATGGCAAGGACCTCTCGAGACAGTTCGAAGTATTTTGTTCTCCTTATTTTAACAACTGGTTTTGTCGACGACTGGGTGGAAACTCAAAGAGCTGTAATTGAGGTAATTGGTTTCGCAAACCGTTTTTTTAAAGTATCATCTTATGATTTTATTTTTGAATTTTTCCACACTTTGCACGAAGTTTGAAGCTGACGATCATAGATTAGATTAGATCTGTTGTGTCCCGCGATTAGAACCGAAGTAATTGACTGCTTTCAGCAACTGAATATTGTAAATGAAATAATTGAACAGTATATTAGTAACTGCAATAACCTAGTTTTCTGAAAGAAGTATTTTTAGCACTCAATTTGAATAATGAATTGACTTTTGCATTCTGCTGTCTCCATTAAGACAACTTTCGTTTTTAGTTTCCAACTTCACAGACGCCACCTTATTTATATGCACATATAGCAGTTTTAATGGCAAGAATGTAAAATGGAAAGAGGCAAATTTACCTGGCAAGGGACACAAACTGAAGCCAATCAAGAAGTTGGATCATTAAACGAAATCTATCAAAACCAAAGCATTGAATTAATTTTGTTAATTTTTAAGTCGGGTTAAAACCAAGATATCAAGTAGTTAGACGAATGCACCTTAAAATTAGTAATAGTCCCATCTTTGGTCATAGGAATTCGCGTGTAAATTTTTGCTTGTTCTTCCTATTAAGTTTGAGTAACGAAAATAAACATTGTTAAAATTTGGGTTTGAATTAGTTCATTTATGTTTGTAAAAGCTACTTTCTCCACGATGCTACAGAGTTATGAAGCAAATTAAATGATTCTTCTCGAATTGATGGTTTTTGTGTACTGTCTTGAGTTTTTGGCGCCGATTTCATCCGAGAATGCTTGCATATATAAAGTAACTGATTAGATTGCGTCAAATGCCTTTCTTAAGTCGGAGTTGTATGCTTCAAGAACCTCTGTGTCCACCGTAGAACGAAGACATGGTTATATTAGAGGACTTGCAATACAACGGCAATTATTTCATTTGCTTTTGTTATCAATAAATACCATTTGTCACTATCTGTCACAATTGTGTCAGGTTAGTTGTTAAAGTGATTTCGCTTATTTTAATTTCAGGCGTCTTTTCTTCCAATTTCAATAATTTTCATAGGTGTCGGCGGTGGACAATTCGAAGGTAAGGAATTTGAGCATATTTATAAATACTCATGACCAAATAGCATTTTACCTAAATTATGGAGTTACTTAGAGCTAAATGTCTCAATTGCTATTAAGTATGCTTATTCTCATGAATCAAAGAGGATTTATGCTCGTGGTGTTTTGTAGTTTAATCTTAAAGTACAGAAGGAATTTCTAGTACAAATAATATGTTTCTAATGAAGAGGAGAAAAAAGCTATCGAGTCGGGACCATTACAAATATAATGACTGGCAATTAAGCTATTTTGTACATATAAAATGAGTCGCTATATTATCTAACTACCGCTCATAACATTAAGGAAACTAGTAATTATAAAAGATATAGATAGAGATTAAATATGATGAATGGCACATATGGTAAGCTATAATTCTACCTCCCATCTTACTTATTAACATTAATTAAAACAGTGCGTCATTTTTACCACTGAATGCGTCCATTTAATCATTCATCTTGAGTGCTATGACTTGACAAATTCGTACATTTACCGCTGAACCACTTGCGAGCAAATGTCAATTTAAATCGTTCATTGCAAAAATTGATGGTTGTTGGAGACATTATATTAGACCACGTCCCATCTATTAATTGGTTGCATAGGAGAAGGCACTTGGCAAAAGACATTGATTCCGCTAACTTAATTATGAAAAAAATAGCGCTCAGATAATTAGTTTAGTTTATGCTTTTTCGCTCACCTGTTCGCTAATATTGAGACCAGCTTGTTTAGTTGTTTTAGGAGTTTGGAAATCTTTTAATTGAGCTTAAAATAAAAAAATGGAAATTTCTTGCCATTGAATTTTTAAATATGTTTAATTAAAAGTGCAATAGGGAGAGGGAATTTCAGTGCTAAATCTTTTCTTCAAAGTGCAGTAACACGCACAGTAAAGTGCAGATCTTATATGACTGCACATTCAAAGGTATTTAAGCGAATCCGAACACTGTAATATTTCATTTTGGTCAATCTTTGCACGTGGAGTTACGAGACATTACCTGTTTTTATTTCCTATTGCAATTAAGTGTGCCAACATGAAAGCGGGTGGGCAAGAAAATCAGAACATTAAAAAATCTTATCTATTTATTTATTTTACTTCCGGATAGGTTAAGATTTTCAAATTTCCCTTGCGGAATAAATCTGATGGTGTATGCTCCAGTAATTTAACTCTGCGTGCGTTTATGGCAGTGGCTTTCTGAACTGATTCTCTGACTGATTCGGTTGATCTTATAAACTCGATTCATTTTTTTACTTTTATACAATTAGGAGAAGGTACTTTAGATAAACAGAAACATTCTTTTTTGCGGGATAGCAACCAATAGAGCTCACTAAGGCTGGATTCTTCTAACCCTTGTCTCTAACTATTTGGAAATAATTACTTGACAACGATAAACACTTTTATCAAAACAAACGGTCTAGAAATGGCCACACCACATATGAAGTCATTTGAAAATGCCATACAGAATACTTCGACGTTGACTAAATAAATACTTTAAAATTGAGTAATTTTCTAGTCAAAAGCAATATTTTCCTTGTAATTAATGTCTACTCTTTTAGCCTCAAAAGCAAAAAAGGGCTTAATAAATGGGATTTGAGATACTTGTTGCTCACACAGGTACTTTTTTCATAGAATTACTGGTTTTGGATCAGGATTTTGCTCTTCTGAAGATCGGTCAGGAAGAAGCCTGCAGAGACAATGTTCAAGTGAGTCTTTATCTACAGAATCTACTTCTTTACCTTTGTGTCTATAGTATTAATGACATTAATTTTTATTGTGCTAGTATTTGAAAGAATGCATTATTTCAGAAAACATAGGAGTATTGCACAGATTAAGTTCAGTTCCAGATTTTAGCAAAAATTATTCACTACTTTCTCATTATTCATTTTTTATCTTCTGTCTGGATATTAAGGTTCTAAGGAATTTTAATAGGATCTAGTTCTGTGTTCCAGCTGCCCCAAATGCGTCTATGAATATTGATTCCTTCGAAAAGATGATAATATTTGTCCATGAAGGGAGGTCTAATCTATTTCTTATCTAGTGGAATGCTGCCAAATGTGTGCTAACAGCGGTTCACTTCCTTAAAACATAATTTTTTGTTAAATGGCTCTGAAAATTTCTCTTCTAACAATGTGATGCTAAGGCGAATTTTCCTGCCGACTGAAGTTTAATGCTTCTGAACGGATTGAAAATACTAACATTCCACGTATTTTCCATGCAAATTTATAATATCAGCCTCAAAATTTGTCAATTGACCCTACTTAAAGCACTCTATTTTTCTGCCATTTTTCATTCGTATCGAAATCTTTTCGCGATAAATGTATTTTAAATTTGTTATCAGGGGTAGTTTGACTAATGTGAAAGAATTTTCCTAAAATGCTCAAAACACAATCGATTTCCACTTTATGTGGCGTATACTTTTGCAGTATCTGTTTTACTTTATCTCATTGAAGAGACTGTGCATAAACACTTCTGGGAAAGAGTTCGTATCACGAAATTAACTCAGGGAATAATTAGAAGAGAATGAACAGTAATTTTCAAAGTAAGTTGATTGACATAAATAACGCTTTTATTCATTCTCCAGTACACATTAGTCTGCACATGCATTTGTGAACCATGCATTAGATTAGACGCCTTTCCCAACCATTAGAACTATTTCAAATTTAAATTTAGAATTTCCTATGACAAGTTTAACAATCAAACGAATATACAATATGTAATCAATCTCTAACATCTAGGAAAACAGAAGCTTTCATTGTAAATATGCATGCACACTGGGCAACATAGACTCATGCGGGAAAAAGGTCTATTAACTGGCAGTTGACTTCTGACTTCAAACTACCATCACCCCACTGTATGTCATATTCAACCACTTTCACAGTACTCATCTTACCTTTTCTCTGCCTTTGTGTCTGCCTGATTCTCTCACATCTGTTGATCAATATTCTGTCCCTCCTCTCGACTTTTTGTCACTCTGATGTTCCTCCTCCCCTCCGTGAAGCCCGAAGTCAGCTAAAGGGCTAATGATAACTTTCAAAACGCCTGCCTTTTGAGATAAATAAATAAACAATCGACGATCTAGCTCTCGTGGACTGGTGGGGCAGCACTTGAGGTATTTGTCATGGATCGAAAATTCCCCTTAACATTTGCGCATACGCAATGGGCAAAATGTTCGGTTATACTGACTAAGCTTAGCTAGTAATGGATTTGCATAAATTGATTTGCCCCATCAAGGTGATATAAGAATTTACTCCTCTATCCAGTAAAAACTTTGGGAAACGCTTTCTTTACTTGGTTTGAAATTGAAATTAAGAAAGGTGGAAGAAATTATTTAAGGTCATATAAATGGTTTGTCATTCATTATCCTAACGCTTAATGCGATCCACATACACCTCTTTCATTTCTTAACCTCGATAAGTAAATCAAAGTAAATTTTTACATATTAAAAATACAAATTCGTTTGACTTGGTAGAAAAGCAATAATTGGATGCTAATCCTAATTGAATTTTGATTTATCCCATGTCAGCGCGTTCAACTATTGAGCACATTTGCTACAACTTTATTTCAAGTTAAAATTTGTCTGATTTTACAGAAGATCGCTTGATAATATATAGCATATTGAGTCCATAATACATTTTATAGTTCATTTATACTAGACAATTTTTAAATCTTCATATATTAAATATCGTCATAATGGTACTCATTGGCGTTTTGGTTCCCGATAAGTAAATGACGAATCAAAGGCTCTTTTAATAGAATTTAAGAGTTACTTGTGGGACTCGGGATGAATTTTTAATTAATAATTGTCTTATATGCTCAACTAATCTTAGTTTAATAAGGCAGTTCGTCGCAAACATATTCCCTTTTCTTGCATATTGAAATGTTTATTTATTTCTTTATATCAAATGGCAGGTGTTTTGATAGTTTTCATTTGCCCTTTAGTTAACTTCAGGCTTCACAGAGGGGAAGGAACATCAGAGGGGGTGGGTGTTGAACAGAGGAGTGTTTGAAATATGTAAGAGACAGACACAAAGGCAGAGAAAAGGTAAGATGAGTACTGTGAAAGTGGTTGAATATGACATACAGTGGGGTGATGGTAGTTTGAAGTCAGAAGTCAACTGCCAGTTAATAGACCTTTTTCCCGCATGAGTCTATGTTGGCCAGGGTGCACCACGTGGAGGTAAGTCTATCGCACACCCCTCATATTGAAATGTAAGTGTCACCTATATGCACCAAGATGCTCAAGTGCCATTGGGCATTCCAAAAGTTTGTCTGTAATTTATACTAGTTTTATTTTTTTATTTTATTGTATATATAACTATAAAGTTGAATGAACACCTTATAGATGTGAATATACATGTTCTAGTATTTATTAGTTTAGCTTCTAAGTTTCAATCCTTTATTTGCCCTTAAAATGATTACTGTTAGGGAAAAAACGCCTTGAAGAATACGATCTTACTTTTTTGGGAGAATGGTATCTGTTTGAAACTTCAAAAAAGCAAACGTGAATTTTACCCATTTTAGATCTGGTGAGGTGAAATTTTGAAACAAATACTGAGAACGATAATACGCATTCTAAATCATGGCAAAGAAATAAGGCAATTAGATGCGGTAAAGACCTGTCGTGTTGATATAACTCTTAAAAGCAATTATTCTTGCTCATTCTGGCAAAAAATTCAAAAATATTAAGGGCGTCAAATGATGCACGTTTTAAATTTTTTAGATTAAAATTCGTTTTAGAGATTTATCGTAAATACTACCATGTATTCTCTAGTTGTTAAAAGTTAAAAATAAGGACTTTTAATTCATATCCTTGCAGTTTGTGGAAATTCGAAAATTTCTTCGATTGGCCGCGGACGGGAGCGAAGAAATTCGGTGGAACAAGATGGGACTTGCGAAGGAGGTTCTTGCCGAATTACCCACTCAGGTAACTCTCTTCACTTTACTCTACTTAGGGAAAGCTAAATGATTAAATGAAGAATGGTGCTTTGCATGAAATTCTTGTATGAATAAATGTGATCGAGATATTCACACTCCGGGATTTCGGAGGTATAATCTCCAAGTCCGTTTCGTCCACTGCCATTTCTATTGACTTCTACGGGGCTTTTACGTCGTAAATAGAAAGAACGCTGAAATATGATCCACAATTTTTTGTTGAAATGTTCACATTGTTAACCTGTTAAATAGGTGCAATCAATCAGAGAGCTACCGTATTAATAATGTAAATATTTATTTATTTATATCATATGACAGGCGTTTTGATAGTTATCATTAGTCCTTTAGTTGACTTCAGGCTTCACAGATGGAAAGGAACATCAAAGTGAAAAAGGTCGAGATGGGGGGAGGGACAGAAGAGTGTTTCAAAGATGTAAAAGAGACAGACACAAAGTTGGAAAAAAGGTGAGGTGAGTACGGTTGAAGAAGTCGAATTTGACATGCAATGGGGTGATGGTAGTTTGGAGTCAAAAGTCATCTGCCGGTTAATAGACTTTTTGCCGCATGAGTCTACGTTGCCCAGGGTGCACCACGTGGAGGAAAGTCTATCGCACACCCCATAATGTAAACATACGCGAGGCTTAAATTCAAGAGAGAGACTGAATGCATCGTTAGCTCTTGTAAATGCATACTGGTTTTTACTATTGTCTACAATTAAAAGGCTACGAGATACCCTGCAGGATTGAGGCTAATCATAGACTGCAGTTTAAGATGGAGTTAAATGTAAGATCACTACAGCGATGGAGTATTTTTCAATTAAATAGGTCACTACTGCCATGTTGGGTTAGATTATTGTCTAGAGCCTAATTTCACCCAGTGGTATCTCCCTAATGATTAGGAGGCGGTCTAGTATGAACTTATGAACTTTCCTAGCGAGCACAGATAGATATTAAATAAATACATTTCATTATGGGTGCGTCTATTCAACTAGTGTGGAAAGATTAGAATTCCATCCGATAGGAGAATTTCTGATCATTAATTTAAGCCAACGTTTTCGATACCTTTTCATAATACAGAAAATGAAGCATGCCTAATGACCGAGCATAATAACAAAAAAGTGAGTTTCTCAAATCATTTGAACTGAAGCAATCATTCCTATATAATATGGTTAAGTACAAAGCAATTTTACATTTTTGCCTTCTGAGAACTTAATCATTATAATTCAGTGGTGGTGGTGGTGACGCTTTGTACCACTTTGGGCTAAACGGAGATGGCAACGACTTTATCATTTCCATTATATTAATAACAATGGTAGTTCATCCGCTTACGAAGCTAGGGTACATAAATTTATCGAAAGTGCATAACGCTGATTAGGGTCGGGTGTTATTGTTCGACCAAGGAAATAAATATACAGGCACAAATAAGTGGCCTCCTCTTTCTTCGCTCATCTTTTAGAATATTTATAGAGTTGAGGCCATTGAATTAGCCACATCTCAATGAGGCTCTCCGTCTTCACCTTGCAGTGCAAATAGAAGAGAGGAAAAAATGTTCTTATCTGCCTTCTTTACGGTATAATCATGTTGAAACTAAGCGTTGTTTTTCTTTACCTTAGATGATGAGTTACTTTTTAAAACAACGTCTTTTGCCTCCAAATACAATCCCAAATCGTCCAGAGCGAACCGAACAACTGGCAGATCCCGCCTGGTGGCATTCCTACATGCAACCTTTGTATCACCTGCCTTCCAGTAAATCGTCCCAAGAGCAAGGCCTTCGGGAACAAAAACCTCGATTACAGAGTGTTGATCATGCTTCAGAAGAAAGTGAAAATGTTTCCGAATTACCAAGTATTTCTTCTAACCCTAATCGAAGTCTAACACCTCAAAAGATCTCTTCAGATGCTATTTCTGATTCATCCGTTCGACAGATTAGGTTAGTCGGGAAGATAAGACGAGAACTTTCGTTTGAAGACACTTCATTTAGACGTAGATTCCGAGGTGGTAATCGTCAAGTCACTTATGAAGTTAGGGAGAGTTCAACGAGTTGCGTAGATCCGCAGGAAGATCAATCCTCGCGAATGCGCCACCATAGTTGGCGAGAGAGACCAGAACGAACGGTCTCTGGAGGATCATCCCAGAGGTCGGGAAACCATAGGCATTCAGAAGACTTGGATGGCAAGAAACTGCCACATCTTGTTGGGTAATATCCTAATTCTAAGCCAAGGCCTTACCTCTAAATTAAAATCAAATATTTTGAAGAGCAAGTCACACCTCTTTATTCCCAACGTTTGACATATTGTATTTCAACTCATTCTTATTTTGAGATTTGCGACTTTTTGACTAAACTTGCTTTCATTGTGCTCCAAATGGACCAATTTGTTGTTTAAATGTGCTTCAAATTTTAACAAAGTATAATATACAAAACAAGTTACTATTTAACTCTGTCTATTTGATTAGAAATTTTATTGGTTATTTTATTTATTTGATCATTCTCATTTGGGTTAAATATAATAGTGCCAGCATTCAATAATGGTAAAATTATTTAAGATCGAATGAAATAAATCAAAATGATATCTACTATCTGAGTAGTGAGAATCAGGTTTTAGTGACGCATAACATAACAGTTCTTTCATGCAACCTTATGGTTTGATCTTTCCCAAAGAGTGCTAGGTCTTTATGGATGGCCACTATTCTGGACATACATGGCTAGTTTTCTCTTCAATTGAACGTGTTCCTGTGACATGCGTTTAAAAAGTTCATACGCTAATTTAATCTCCACGATTGATCGAATTAGCTAATTTATCTATTAGCTTAATAAATATATCGAAGTGCATCAGTTAGACCGTTTCTATAATTGGGAAATCAATTTTAGAATGTACTGGTTATAGGTCAAAAATGAGACATCTGAACTAGATTTTAAGCATTTAGTCGAGCAAAGGTACGTTTTGAAATGACGTAGACAACTTTTAGTATCATATTTTAGGAATGGTAAAGTGGGAATTTTGAAGCATACAAGGCTAAGTTATGATGGACTTCGGTTTTCAGGTAAAGCAGTTTGTATTTGCTTGAATGGTCAATTCATACTCATCATATCGTTAAGGCATACAGCCCGATTATCCAAGATTAGATGAATGACTATTGCACCCATTTCAATTTTAGGTTTAAAAAGCCGTTAGTTATCATGGGTTTGTGCTCCTAATAGACGAGATGTCAGAATATAAAGAGCTTACATGATTTAGCAGGCCGGAGATTACTTGAGATCGTATTAAGACAGTCAGCATGAGTAATATTTAAAAGTGGTTAGAGGAATGCCTATGACACAGTTGAAAAGCCCACACACTGACAACACACAACTATCGGCTAAGAGTAAGGCAGCTTGAACTCAGCACTTGGGTCTAGTTATCGACTTGGTTTATCTAAAATTCCAGGTAAGATTGTGTTAGGACAAGTCCATTATATTTTTTGCAGTTTATTTCGTTTTTTTGAGTAGATTTTAACAGGGTCAGAGAAAGGTTTTTACCGCTTCAACTCGCGGTCACATATTTTCGGCCCTTCCCGAATATGCGGATGGAAGTATAAGATAAATTAAAATAAACTGAGGGGCAAGCGTAAGAAAAGTCTCCGAATCTCCTGATTGTAACATACGCACAGAAAAGCTCTAGGTTTCATGCAGTGTTAAGGTTTTGACTGAGTTAATTACATCCTAATGCCTTGGGATTTTCGATGTCACTTCATAGTTTCTGCTTCTAAAGCTACAGAGAGAGGGTCAAGAAAGCTCGCAGAAAATATAGCTACCCAACCTTAGCATTATTCCATAAATCCCATTACTTAGCATGATGCATATTTTGGTCGTTGTAATAAAGCTTGTCGTTCGCTCCCTGGTAAATAATTCTGTTTCGAGTAAATTTGATGCCCAATTTGGGCACTAATGGCACAATATTATCAAAGGCACAAACGAGTAAATTTTATGTTGCTTCAGCATCCATGATGGTTTAATGAAGAAAAAAATTGCTGAAAAAAATTTACTACGACCAAGTTCTATTTATAAAATATTTCGTGGAAGTGAGTTCTCTTACGGCAATGTTAGAGCGAAATGCAATGGGAGAACTGGAGAGCAGTGATAAGACCGGGAGATTGCGGATTTGCAAAAAACACTGCGGTGAACTAAAAGCTTTTGCTAGAAAATAGGGATGTGAATGCGGATTACCAAGTTGCCAAAAAGAATAAATTAATCTTATTATTTTGGGCATTTAAAGATCGACTTTGGAGAATAATAACACTAATCACAGATGGTTAAATAGATGATGATAAAAGCATGAAAAACAAGAGAAAAGCAACAAACTTTCAAAAGAATGACTAAGACAGTAAAATAATTTAGTGGGATTTAAATTTGCTAGATAATTAATTAAAGGTTAAATATGTTTGAAGTAACCCAACCACTTTAATAAAAGACAAAACACCTTCACATTTTGAAGAGTGAATGCTTACCTTTACCAACTCTCAGCAGTTCTAATTTAGAATACACAGTTAAAGGCAGCATCGTCTTATTAAGAATATAATTATTATGGTTTGCGAAGTTCCTTTGGGTACAACTGGCATTCTTCACTTCCAAACAAGAGGATAAATCACCACCTGGCCAATCCAATTTACCTTCTATCTTAACTTGCAACAAAATACAATGAAGAAATGGCAATGGAGAGAATTTATTTGGAGATGACCAAACACGTCGAGGAGGGAGTGTAAGCAGCTAATGAGGCCTGATACCTCAACGGTATTCCTTTATCCTCGGTGGGTGATCATAACGAGTCCATTTGGGAATAGGCGATCCTAGTGTCCCCTTGAAGGTTTTAAATGAGTGAATCGTAATGCAATTCCGAGTGATTATTCACTTGAAACCCCTTTTGGGATTTCCAATTCCCCTTGTTCTGGATATTGGGTTTCTTTCACATATCCCACTCCTCTCACTCCTTCTAAGAACAGAGTGGAGCATCATGGGCCTTTAATTGGACCTAGTCAAGGGGGACATTATGAGAGATTCTTACTGGCTCTGCCATCGACTTTGGTGAATACAACAATGAACACTGAGAATTGTAGCGGATTGCTACTTAATTAAAGCCCGACCGACTCAGAAAACTCTATGGCAGATTCTCCAACATCTAGCTAGACTCCCAGATATCTGTGGCAGATTCTCCTACATCTAGCTAGACTCCCAGAACGGCAGATTCTCCAACATCTAGCTAGACTCCCAGAACCAGCTGAGCTATAGCCTAGCTATAAGGGAAACAGACGTGTACCACTGAGAATCATGCAATTGCAAATAAGTATACGAGAACTCGAATTCAAATTATGCCGGAAGGCGATGTTTACTAGATATTATGTAAAAATTATTTCATGTAATGGAATAAGTTTAAAGACAAGGATTGACTGAAAGGATTTGATAAGTGTACTGTTCTATAATGGATAACTTTAGTTTCTAATGAATTTCATTCCTCCTAATTCGTTCTCTCGGTTTTGAGAATAATATCACATTGCTGGATAGGGGTTTATAGCATTTCTTGGCATTTTTATTCAACTTGACCAAAAAAGAGCAAGAAAATAGATAACGCGGTTTTAACTTTAGACGTTTTCACTTACGTTAATCCACAGTAACTACGAAGTTCTACAGCAACAAAATGCCAGAGAATATCTATTCCTACCACCTATGATATTTGAAATCTTTAAAAAATGGAATAGAACGCTCTATTCTTTCAACATTTTTAGGAGAGAGTAGTTTAAATTATCGACCGTCGTAAAATATATTATGAAAAATAAATTAAACAATGAGCCCCTTGAATATCCTTCTGGGAGATGTTAGGGATAATTGAAAAGAGTGGCTTATTTTGGTTTTAACGCCAAATAAATATGACAATGCCGGAACTTAATAAATTTTATGAAATTTCTACTTCCTGAAAAATCGTTTATGGCTAATAGTATATGAATTTTTAATTTAAATCCCCATAAAGTTTACCGGGTTAGTGGTGGCATAAGCCGTAGGAAAGAAAGTTATCGTAGAGTAGAAGCTAAGAGCGAGTAAATAAGAGGGGAATAGAGGCGAATTAATGAAACTTATTTTGTAATTCATTTAACATTTCAATGCAGGAACAGAGCAATGCTATTTAAAATAGTTTAGCACCTAAAGTGTTTAGTGGAAAATGCCTTTTTGTGCATTTAAGGTAATTCAGGTAACTTCGTTTCCTTACACTCCAAGCATAATATCGGCTTATTTGCAAGAATGCTCTTCAGGCATGAAAGCCTTGACGAAATTCGCAAAATAAAAATTGATTCGATATTTTGATTCCGAATTTACTTTTAAAACCGAAAAAGTGCGTGCTCGCAGAATCAAAGTATTGTCAGCACTCTAGATAGCTCAAGTATGACACTAATTTGATGCTATCTGCTAATGAAAAAAATGTCACCTCAACTTTCGCTTATTTTTGAAATAGCAGGCGCTTTCTTTTGGACAAAATCGAGGGGGGCGGAATCCAAGTGCACACCGAATCGTGATAAAATCATTCTGCGAAAAGTTGGTGGCAATTTGGTTTTCGTAAATAGCTGAAGCTACCACTTACTGCGGCGCTACGATGAACTTGGGAAATAAACTTAGGCCACGATTTATTTTGAGGCTTTAGCTTACTTCTTGTTCGCAGTTAGAAACTCTAAGAGAAGAGGAAGAGAAAACGTTAACACGAAGTGCCTATCTTAGAAAACATCTATCAATAAACACCATTTTTATGAGTCGAGTTTCGAGGGGATGTGTGAAATAGCCTTACGGAAGATGAGGGTTGTGGAAATCGAATGATAAATACAAATTTTCGGTAGCACTACAAATTTGAGTGGTTGTGTGGACGCATTATAGTAACAGGAACGCACACGCTGCTCACAAGAGAGGGGAGGGGGGAAGGTTAGGGAATTATGTGCAATTATAATTTTTTCTTAAGAGATGGAAACAATAAAAATGTTGAATCGGGTAAATACTGGTCGCCGCAGAGGTACGTAATAGCATTCGTCCTCCTCTTTAATTGAATTTGAGATTTGCTTTCGTCGAGACGAAAAGGTGATAGATTATAAATTAATATTGATAACATTACATCCCAAAGCCTCTTCAATAAGAAGAAAAGAAATTATCTTTTAGTTTATTTGTGATAGGATTGTTTACTGCTATTAG